GTATATCTAGCAAGGAAAAAAAGCAAGAATAAAATTGAAAATGTTTCAGGAGTCTAAAGGCAATGGGGGCTTTGGGCTACCAGATTGGAAGCTATATTATCAAGCATCTGTACTTACATGGGTAAAAGAATGGGTAAATTTGAGGCATAGAAGACTATTATTATTATTTGAGGGACACGGTCTTCAATGAGGATGACATGCTTTTCTAGGGTGTGAAAGGAGTACTATATATAGATATTTTCAAAGACATTATGTGATAAATGCTTTATTTTTGGTATGGGAAAAAAAATCAAACTACAAAATTATATGAAAATACCAGCCTGGCTTTCTATAATGAAATCATTGATACATCCAAATCTTATTAACTTAGAAAAAATTATATTTTATAAAGATATTTTAAATGAAAATGGTGAATTTAAAACTAGACAGGAATTACAAAACCAAGGGGTGGACTTAGCTTTGTGGCCACACCTGCAAGTACAATCGAGAAAGGAGAAAGATGTGAAAACATGGGGTTTTTATAAAGAACCAACAGCACTTCACAAGATGTTATTAGGGACAGATGAAAAACTGATTTAAAAAATATATAATTATTTATTAAGCTTTAAAATGGAAAATGAACAAGTTAAAGAAACAATGACAGTATGGGCAAAAAACTACAGAATTAGACAAATGTCAAAAACTTTGGGATAGGAACTACAAACTGATAATGGCTACTGCATTTAAGGAAAATCTCTATAAAATGTTTTATAGATGGACTTGCCACTAGCAAGACTAGCAAAAATCTTTAACAACATGTCCACCAAATGTTGGAAGTGTAATCAGACCCCATGTACTTACTATCATATGTGGTGAACATTTATGAAAGCAGGAAAATATAGGACGAAAATACATACAATAAAAATAAATATATACATTGTTGGAAAAGATGATTAAGCAGCATATAGATTTGAAACCAGAAATATTTTTGTTAGGTATAATACCGGAAAGCTATGATAAAGAGACTATATACTTAATATTACATGTACTGACTTCAGTGAGAATTGTATTTGCACAATATTGGGAAAATGAGAACACTCCATTAGATAAAGATATAATTAGGAAAATATTGGACTGTGCAGAGATGGGTAGATTGACATTGAAAATAAAAGATAAAGGAGATACAGAATATTATGTAACATGGAATAGATTTTAAGGAGAGTTATTAGATAAGAGGTAGAAATTAGATGAAGAAATACTATTGCTATGTATAAATTAAACATAAACATGGTTTAAAACTATAAGTATGCCAATATAATCAATAAGATTATAAATAAGCTAACATAAGTATAAGTTTGGTCAAAATCATCCTGTTGTACTACTACTATTGTTATTAGCATATATGTTACTATTTCTTTTTTTTTTCCTCTTTTCTTTTATAAAGTGATATGTCCAGACAATACACTGTATTCAAAATGTTTATATATAAATTTTAAAAAAACTTGGACTACCAAAAAAAATAAAATCGAAAAAAGTGGGGTAGATAGCATCACCACCAGATGGATTCATAACTGGCTGACAAACCATACTCAATGAGTCGTCCTTAATGGGTCTACATCTACATGGAGGGAAGTAAGCAGTGGGGTACCACAAGGTTCCGTCTTAGGCCCAGTACTTTTCAATATCTTCCTAAATGACTTACATGAGGGAGTAGAAGGGGAATTTACCAAATTTGCAGATGATACTAAGCTGGCAGGAATAGCTAACACCATAGATCTGGGGGTCCGCAACCTTAAACACTCAAAGAGCAATTTGAATCCATTTCCCACAGAAAAGAAAACACCAAGAGCCACATAACCCTTTTGACATCTAGCATATCATTTTTTACCTTTATGCTATTATAAAAAAACTATAGTGTGTTTCATTTATGAAATCAATGAACTGCTATAGAGAAAACAATTTTTTATTTCTGCATGCAACAACATTTTTAACTCCCCCCCAAAAAATGCTGGGTTGAAGATTACTTTCAAATAAAATACTCAATGTCGATTTGAGTCCTCCTCAAAAGTTTATGAAAGTTCTCTCTCTCTCTCTCTCTCTCTGACTTTCTGTCTCTCTCTCTCTATGTGTGTATATGTGTGTGTGTGTGTGTGTGTGTGTGTGTGTGTGTGTCTGTTATTCTTCGGCTCCTCATCTCTAGCTGGGTCTTGCTGCCTAACAGACTGCAGCAGGAAATGATGGGTGGCTACTTCCAGCCCTTGTTGGTGCTGGACATGCCTCAGTCACTCAGGGAGATGCGCAACCTGCTCTCTGCCCCAAGACATTGGCCTGACCTGTTCCATGGCCAACACCACTGTCGTATTGTGGCTTTGTGCTGTAATGGGCTTCAGGAGGAGGAGAGAACCCATCTCTCCAATTGTGAAACACGCTAAATTTTACTGTGCTGTACAAGGCACTGCAAGAGGAGCAGGCAGGCCATGGAGGTGGCAACAGCAGCAGTGTCAGTCGTGGCCGGGTCAGGCCAGTGTTTTGGGGTGGAGAGCAGGTCACGCATCTGCCCGAGTGACCGAGGCACACCAAGTACCAACAAGAGCCAGAAGAAGCATCCATGAGACCCAGCAAGAGATGAGGCCATGGAGAATCACCCAGGCCACTTCTCTCCACTGCAGTGCTTCCCGGATATGGCTTACAGCTCCAACCCACAGCCCTGGAGCTGCAACAGAGGGATGAAAGAGCCACATGCAGCTCCAGAGCCATGGGTTGCTAACCCCTGCCCTAGATGATAGGCTCAAGTTCCAGATGAATCTTGACAGACTTGAACACTGGACCCTATCTAACAAAATGAAATTCAATGTAGAGAACAGTAAAGTCTTACACTTAGGTAAGAAAAAATAAAAGTACACATATAGACTGCGTGAATCCAGGCTTAATAGCAGTAACTGTAACAGGAATCTTGGAGTCTTAGTGGACAATCGGTTAAATATGAGCCAGCAGTGTGTGGTGGCAGCCATAAAAGCTGATGCAATCCTAAGTTGCACCAACAAAGGGATACAATCAAGATCCAGTGAGGTACTAATACCACTCTATAAAGCCTTAGTAAGACCACACCTAGAATATTGCATACAGCTTTGGTCACCACACTATAAAAAAGATATTGAAACTCTAGAAAAAGTGCAGAGAAGAGCAACCAAGACGATTAGGGCAATTCAAAAACATATGAAGAACAGTTACAAGACCAGGGTAGAGATGATAGCAGTGTTCCAATATTTGAGGGGCTGTCACAGAGAGGCATTTTCCAAGGCACCCAAAGTCCAGACAAGGAATAATGGATGGAAACTGATCAAGGAGAAATTCAATCTAGAAATAAGGAGAAATTTTCTGACAGTGAGAACAATCAACCAATGGAACAACTTGCCTTCGGAAGTTGTGGGAACTTCATCATTGGAGGCTTTCAAGAAGAGATTGGATTGCCATTTGTTAGAAATAGTGTAGGGTCTCCTGCTTGGGTGGAGGGTTGGATTAAATGACCTACAAGGTCCCTTCCAACTCTGTTAATCTGTTAAAATTGAAGAATGCAAAAAAGGAGGAAAGTTGGCTATATTGATATATATGAATAACCTGTTAAAAATATTATTCATGCTTATGATTGGAAATAGGATTCTCTCAGGAAATTTGAATGGCTTGTACAATCAGCTGAATTACTTCATAATCTAAATATCTGGCACATACAACATAATCAATCATCATGAAAATTTTCCACTGTATCAAATGGTGAGATTTACCAGTAAGACGGAGTAGAGTTCTCTATTCAGAACTTCGTGCCTGCAAAGAATCATGCCTCAGAACTGTGTGAGCTTTCCTATTTCTAGACTAGCATTTATTACTCGGAATGAATAATTATGAAAGCAAATTAAGTCAATTGATCCAAGGATTCTCAGACTCAAGCAAATCATTTCAATGTGGATGTGCAAGTGCTATTTTACTTTTTTCAGTGGTTGGATTTTCTAAGCCCTGGATAGTAATAGCACTAGCACTTAGACTTATATACCTCTTCACAGTACTTTACAGCTCTAAGAGGTTTCACCAGCGTATTATCCCCAACAATCTGGTTCCTCACTTTACTGTCCTCGGAAGGATGGAAGGCTGACACTATCTTGATCCGCTCAGAATCAAATTCCTGGAGTGAGCCTTGCAGTACTGAATTCTAATCACTGCGCCATCATGAATATTTAGAAAAGCCACTAATCTCTAGTTATTTATGTCATCTGGCTACTTTTGCTTTTCCATTCATATTCCTACTGTGAGAGAAAAACTTCAAATTCAATCCATTAGTAACCTCTTGAAACTCAACTATAAACATTTTAGTTGGGAGGATAGCTTTAGGTATAATTTTGTCACTCCTTCAAAGAACTATTTGCTCTTGTGATTTGCATCCAAGTCACTCACTGTCAGATGCTATAAACTGCACTCCTGCAAAAATTACTGCTTTATCCTGCCTCATTCACTCACTCTCTCCCTCCCATCTGAATGCTCTTAGTTCAGCACTTGGACAGTTATGATAACAGGCAGTCTATTCTGGTCACTGTGAGTTATGGTGATATCATATAAGCTGAAGGGCTCTAAAATGTATGACAAATTAAACCTCTGAGTAATTGTGGTATTTTGTTACCTTTTTACTCCCAGGGTAAAGATTTACATGTTCACAAAGTCTTCCTGCTCTTATCAATAGGTGCCAATTTGATTTTCAGTGGAGACTTCCTTCAAACAAGATCACCATACTTGGCTTGTTGCCTCATGGGAATAAGAGCTAAAGTTGTCTAAGAGTGAAATAGAGACCTCAGGCAAAAGGGACAGCAAAACATAACCTTCCTACTTTCAAATGCTTCCTGATGCACCGGCAAGCCTAGAAGTTCTATTTATTCATCTCCAAGAGAAAGAAAAGCCTGGAGAGGTATCTGAGCTGATGAGAAGCTTCACTTAATGCCACCTAACTCTCAAATTGGTCATCTGAGACTGGCTTAAAAAGAGCTCTTACATTTTGTGGATCAACTCTTTTAAAAGGAAATAGAGGTGAGAGAAATACATGTTGAAGGATGATACTAGAATCCGCTTTATGAAATGAATGCATGAAATAACAACGGATGATAAATTGGAGAAATGTAAAATTAGTATGTGAGCTGTCTGTCATCAGGAGAAGATAGCTTTTTTTAAAACTTGAACTTTGCACATTTCCCTCCTTCTTTCATCATTGGCAAAAAGAGCTTTAGGAGCATTTTGTGCTGCACAATGACTTATTTCTTGTCTTACTGCAAAAGACACTGCAGTGCTGTATTGTCTCAATACCAAACTCTCCGAAAGGAAGGTTTGCTCTGTGACATTCTGTTAAAAGTAAAAGAAAATGAATTTCCGGCACACAAGTCTTTGTTAGCCTGTTCCAGTGATTACTTCAAGGCCATGTTCAAGAGTTATACCAAAGAATCGAAGGCTGCTGTTGTTCATCTGCAAGTCATCTCAGCCATTGGGTTGCAACATGTTCTGGATTTCATTTATACATCCTGGCTGCCTTTGTCTTTTACCACCTTGGAAGATACCTTAGAAGCTGCCACCTACTTACAAGTACCTGAGGCAATCTGTTTATGCAGCCAATACTTGGCTAACAGTCTCAATCTGGAGAACTGCTGTTTTTCAGCCAATATTGCGACAAAATTTTATCTTCCAGATGCTGTATCTGCAGCAGAAAAATATCTTATTATTAATCTCTGGAAACTACTAGACCTGGATTTTTCAGGTCTGCTGGAACTAAATTTCTGGTCTTTGAAGGCAGTAGTAGAATCTCCTGATGTACTTATGGTGAGAGAATCTAATTTGTTAGATCTATTATTAAAGTGGTTAGCATATGATAAATTGAGGCTCATCTATACTTCTAATCTTTTGGAACATGTAAGATACAGTCTCATTCCTATGGAAGATCTGAGAAATATCTACACTCAGTCAGAAGTGCCTTTAACGACTCCTGTAAAATGTTTAATTAGAAAAGCAATAAACTATCATTCACTTATTTATAAACAACCTATCTTGCAGGATAAATACAGCACTTTGAGAAACCAAAAGATACGGATTATCCTGCTCGGAGGTATGATTGCACATGAAGGGCTTGTCACAGAAGCGATGGCTTTTGATGTTTATAATCACAAATGGCAAAATTTAACACAGTTACCAAATAGGATACAAAATCATTGTGTATGTACTATTGGAAACTTTCTATATGTGCTTGGTGGAGAAATAGAAGATATGCAAAGTGATCCTAAAAGTCCTATCATGAAAGTTACAAATAAAGTCCATCGCTATGATCCAAGATTTAATAAGTGGATACAAATTACTGGTATGCTGGAAAAAAGGTGTCAATTTTCTTGCTGTATCTTAGAGAATGCAATTGTTGCAATAGGTGGACAAACTGAAGACAAAAAATTGCATTCATCTGTTGAAATCTATAACATTAGTGAAGACAGGTGGGCAAAACTTTATGATTTGCCATGCAAGGTACATGGCCACGCTGGTACTGTTTGTAAGAATACTATTTATATATCAGGGGGCAAATACATGGGTCAAAGTAACACAAGTAAGGATATGTATGCTTTGAGTAATTTTAAAGGGGAATGGAGAAAACAAGCCCCAATGAGCATTGCTCGGTTTGGGCATCAGATGGCCACAATCCGAGATTTGGTTTTTACATTTTTAGGTTTTTATGAACCATTTTCTGAAATTGAAAAATATGACCCTGACCAGAATCAATGGACCCGTTTAAGGCCATTAGTATATGATCGATATAGTTATGGCTTAGCAGTAGTGGAGGAAACAGCCATCCTTATTGGAGGGAAGAAATGGCAAGATTCTCAGGAAATTCCAACTCAGGATGTTGTAGGTTATGATATTGATAATGACTGTTGGGAAGAAATCTGCAAAATTCCTTTGCCTTGGTATGGATTGCAGTGTGGAGTGCTAGAACTTTCTGAATTACAAGAAAAAGATATTCAACAGTAAAAGAGACCAAATATTGAGATTATACCTCATTGAACTAGGAAAACAAGGATAATGGAAGGATACAGCATGCATTATTAGGGATTATCCGCCTTGTGATAGGCTGTGGCGTGGGCCCGCAGGGCCATCCTGGAGATGGCAAGGGACCAGCCCGCTGCTCTTGGCCTGGCCATACCCACTCAGTCGGCTACAATGACCAGGCCACATCCACCCTGGCCCCACAAGGGCAAATGAACCCCTGATGTGGACTGTGATGGGATGGAGTGACACCCCTGATTTATATGGTTAAACATAGATATGTTACTGATTAAAACAGCAAGGTAGCATGTATGAAATTGTATTTTTGTTGCTGGAGAATTGATTAATCTAAGAAATGTAATGTCAAGATTTTCACTATGCTATAACTGGCTTGAAATAGGGGCAACATTGTTTTATGAAAAACAAGATGCATACTTCTAATTTTGCAATTTTGTGTGGTCTACATTGTTAAACAATGCTGGTTAATTCATAAGAATATCAAACAATACTTCCCTCATCTTTATTTAATCATGAAATGAACAAATAATTAAATATGATTGTAAGATCTGTAGTGATATCAGAGATTCTTAATTGTCTTCTTCGTCTATTTAAAAGTACAATTATTCTTTTCCTGATTTGCCAACTGTTCTTACTACAATCTAGTCTTGTCCAAGTGGCCACATAACATCAACATGTTCTCAAGACTATATAATTCATTATTTACATGCATAAATAGGCTGATCATCTCAGGAAAATGCTACTTTTCAACTATTATTGAAATGCTAGGTGGAATTACTTTGGAAAATGTAATTATAAAAACCATGTGAAAAAAACAAGTGAAAAATTTCACTCCCAAATATTCAGTTGTGCCCTCCTTTGGTTTCCATTTGGTAAAATTTATGGAGCAGGAAAAAGCCACAAGTATAAATAATTGTAAAAATGATGTTTGTTAAGCAAGGCAATATACTAAATATATACACAGTAGTGTCTAGAGCAGGGGTGGGCAAACTACGGCCCGCGGGCCACATCCGGCCCATTGGTCTGTCCAATGCGGCCCGCCCCTGAAAAACAATTGCTGCCATTGGTCTGTCCAATCCGGCCCGCCCCTGAAAAAAAATCGCTGGGCGTGGCGTAATTGCCCTGTGCCGCGTGGCCCCCAAAGCTGCAAAACAGTGCGGAGCGATCTAGGGGTAGGAAAGAAAAGAAATTTGCAAAGGCCTCGGCTGGGAGTTTGAAATCACCTTCGAGTGCGACCTCTCCGAAGGTGAGTCCCCGCCGATCCCCCTTTTTTTTCCGGGGCTTCCAGGCTTAAACTTTGCAAAGGCAAAGCTTGCAGGCTGGAGCGTCTTCCCGCCGAGGAGCGGGAAGGGTTCCACCCGGCGGGCGGGGCGGGCTGCTTGGAGCCACCTAAAGCTAGGCCGCTGCTGGTGGAGCTTTGCCCTGCCTTGGTGCCCCGTTTCCCGGCTCGGCGGTCCTGCTCGGGCAGCACTTTAAAAGCCTGCTCCCAGCACCCGAGGAACTTCCCAGCAACTTTCGGCTTCCTTTTAACTCGCGGGCGCTCGTGCCTGGCCCCGAGCCGCGCGGCAGAAGGGAAGCCCGGCGGGCGGGCAGGCTTCTTGGAGGAGGCTCCGGGCTTCCCCTCTGCCAGGCGCGAGCGCCCGTGAGTTAAAACGAAGCTGAAAGTTGCTGGGAAGTTGCTCCATTTTCCAGGGCTTTGCAAAGGCAAAGTTTGCAGGCTGGAGCGTCTTCCCGCCGAGGAGCAGGAAGGGTTCCGCCCGGCGGGCGGGCGGGCTGCTTAAACTTTGCTCGGGCGGCACTTTAAAAGCCTGCTCCCAGCACCCGAACAACTTCCCAGCAACTTTCGGCTTCCTTTTAACTCGCGGGCGCTCGCGCCTGGCCCCGAGCCACGCGGCAGAGGGGAAGCCCGGCGGGCGGGTAGGCTGCTTGGAGGAGGCGACCCGGCGGTGCTCCGGCAGCAGCAACAGGCAGTTTCGCCCGGGCGAAAGGTGTCCAGGTGTCCAGCTGGGGCTGTCAGGAGTTCCTACCGCTGGCGCAGCTCCGTGTGGCTCCAGTCCCGCGTTGCCTTGGGAAGGAAAAGGCAAAACCAGGAGCCGCTGAGCCTGAGCCTCCAGTGCCGCTGCTCCCGTTGCAAAGCACCGCCGCGGCTTTTCCTTTTTGCCTTTCCCTTCCCGAGGCAACGCGGGACTGGAGCCGCGCGGAGCCGCGCCGGCGGTAGCAACTCCTGACTCAGGGGGCCTCCGAGGGG